CCCTGATGTCAATACAAGGAGCTACACTCTGCAGTCAAAATGCTACTAAAGTTTGAGGCACTACTCAGATGTAAAATGCAGCACTGTAAGCATGCATGACTGCATGAAGGAACAAAGTTTAACAAACAAATATTTTAGGAAAACTGAGCAAAAATAAAATAGAATAGGGAGGGCTAATCAAATAGATTTACTAAAGCAGCTCCATTAAATGTCTCTGAGGCATAGCCAGTGAATTTCTAACAGCTCCCACCCCACTAGATCTGAAAATATCTTTTTGTGAGCATAAGACAAAAGAGAAGAGCACTGCAGAAAGCACTCTATCCTTCAGCTTCTAAAATTAAATACTGCACATGCATACATTTTAACTAGTATATCAATTTGTTTGACAAACTCTGGCATGCAGAGAAAGATCAATAAAAAGACAGCAGACATCGCTTCCTTGTAGGTCACTGTGACAGTTTTGCTCCATTCTGTTGCCTTTTTCACACTTCTTTGATAGCGCAGCTCACTACTCTTACCTAGAAGTGCTATAAAATTCCTCTCTTGTGAATGCAGTCACAACCAAAGCTATAGAGATACTGAAAGTGGTTGTCTTACTGAACTTCAGAAATCTTAAGAATATAAAGCTGAAGGAAGAAATCTGTCTTAAAAAAGCAGATCTCTCTGTCAGATTGTTGATACATTCTCGCACAATGGTGATATTTCATAAATACAGACAAACCTTCTTGCTGTTTAATTGTAGGCTGAAAAATACCCCTTTCTCTGAGTTTTCCTTAATAGAATAAATGGAAATTGTAAGACATATTTTTTAAATGTGGCCTAACGAAATAGCAGCCTCAGTGGTCTGAAGACCGAGAATGACTTTCACAGAAAAGTTCTTTACAAAAAAAAGTCCACTGTGTTATTGAACCTTTTTACATTTCTGTAGTCAGTTGTTTGTTTCCATAAACAGCCTAACTAAATAGCAGATGTTTCCTTGGGCAGTTATTCAATATATCTAGGAAAAAAAAAAAAAAATCTCTTTGCCTTCCAGACTTCTGACAGCTTTGTTTCTAGCTCCTGACTACTTTTCCCTGCTGAAATGTTCAACCTTTATAGCAGGCCTTCACAACAGGTGGGCTGTGGGTCTCTTGCAACTTGAAAAAACATTTGTTTGGCCCATCAGCAGCTGAGAACCATCATGTACTGTTTGATTTGCTCAGCTGCCAAGATGATGGCAGCAACAAGATGTCCAGAAGAAAATGCATATCTAGCTTATCACTGATCCCTCAGAATGCTTGTATCTCCCAGTCAGCCACCTAGCGAACCAGCAGATACATACCTCAAGTTCATACATACATGTTGCCTCACCAGTCAAAGTGGAGTAGTAAGAAAGATTTGGCATATTCACAAGTAATATCTGGGATAGAGGGTAGGGGATTGCATTTGGTTGAGAGGGAGAAGGAAAATGGGAAAATAATAATTTGAAGGGAACTGAAAAAATGTTGAATTGGGTCAGCAGAGATGTAGGAATCACTTGGGAAAGTAAAATTCACTTCCATTCTGAAATGACCTGAAAATCCATTTGAGAATCCTGGCTCTCTAATAAACTCTAGCAACTTCCTACTAGCAGTCCCATGCAATAATAAATGAGTAACAACAAATCCATAGCACTTACTGAGCGGCAATAAAAATGGAACAACTCATGAACAAGTGTCAATTAAACCAAAATGCAGAATTTACAAGTTGATAAATAGATAGATAGATAGAGCTATTTACATTTCTAAATCGGGTACTTTTCTTTTCTTGGGATTAATTCATTAAAACTATAGAGAACATATGATTGTTGGTTTACATGGCGAGTATGATGGATAAAAAGAAATAGACTTATATAGGCCATCATAGTCAATATCATGGGCAAAATAAATGAAAAAAAGCCTAAAAGACATTTTATTTAAATACACTGCAGAGAGAACTGTTCTCCCAAGAAAAGAAAGATATGATACTGAAAACTATTTTTTAATGATTAGCTAATTTGAAAGTAGTCTTGTACCAGAATATGTTTCCTATCAGTAATTTTTAAACAATATTAATCTTCTTTAAGTCTAAAAACAAACTCATAAAGTTGAAGATCTAGAGAAATTAGAACAACAAGCCTGGTGCAGGTGGACTTGTAAACGAAGAGAGAAAATAGAACTACAGGGAGTGACTGAGACTGGTTGGACAAATGGACAGATATCAGGCACTGGAAAACACTGTGAAAGGAAGCTAGTAACAAGAAATGGTTGGCTGACAGTAGCTGAGACCAAAGCCAGGGGACCACATGATTTGTATTCACTAGACAATAACAGGACCAGTGGTTGAAAACAGAAAGATGACAGAACGCAGTGCAACAAAGTCATGTTCAGTTTTCTGAAAAGAAGTCTCTCTGAGGCAGAAATCTTGACAAGTGTATATGGGGCATAAAGACAGACATCTGGGGATGTCTGGATCTTGCTTAAGAAGAGTATTAGGTTCAAGAAGTTAAGATATGAAGTTGGAATTACGACTGGAGAACTGGATATAAATAGAAATCTGGACAAGGATATTAGGACTGACGCGAACGCAGGCCAGAGCTTGATGGAGACACTGTTAAAAGAACTGTGTGTTGCAAGAATAATGAAAGGAAGGATGAAATGCAATTCAGGACTATCTTCATTTATCACAAAAAAGTCTGTAAAACCCTCATGTTAAAATGGTCATTCCTTAGAGCACTGTGGACTGCACATAATCATGTATTACAGCTTACTGGCCACTTTGTTTGGTTTATCACTGTGAAAGTAAAGGTTCAAGTCTTAATATATCCACAAGGTCATTAGATATCTTTTCATAATGAAACTTTTGACTCTCTAGTTTACCTGTAAAGAAGTAAACCCTAAGAAATGATCACCTGTAATACTAGGACCTTATTCAAAGCTAAGACAAAACATACAACTGTTAGGAAATTTCAAATTAAGATTTAACATATTAAAGAAATTGAGATAATCTTCCATACCTCTTCTGTAAAGCATGATGTCTAGTGACAAAAAATATTGTATATAAACCAGGTATTATTTAAAGCATGAGAATACACGTAGTACTGGAGATAAAGAAATATTGGATAGATATCCATTTATTCAACTCCATCCTCGTCCCCTAACTGAATTAGGTACTGTGCAAAATACAGTATCTAATCACATAATTAAAGATTATATCACAATGCATATACAAAGATGACAGAACAAAGATGCAGAAGACAACCTTAATTCTATCACTTCCTAATTTTGGAATGCTTGACTTTACAGTCTTGATAATAGCTTTTTCCAATAAAAGTTTTCGATCTCATAAGAAATATAATCACCTATTTAGACATGCTTTTGTCAAGATTTTTACATCAGACCCATGTACCCAAGGTTTATGGAATGACTGAAAGTTCCTTTTCAGTGCGGAAGTCCTTCAGATATCTATCTTTCAAACATTGCAAGAAAGCATCAAATATTATAATTCACTAAGATTATTACACTGATTTTACTTGTAGAAAAATAGATTAAACAAATCTCAAACCAATGCAGAAAACAATTTAGGTTAGGTTTTCAGACAAATAACTGAAGCTGTGTCTAAGCAATTGTTATTAACATTGAGGGCAGCTGCAGGGCAGCATTTTCCTATTACTTAGGCAGCAAAATGTGCCCTTTAGGTCCCTGGCATATGCAAAATTAAATCATAATTTCTTTCTCTTCATCTGTTGCCTTCATTGATTGTAAGAGTAATTTCAATAGAGGACTACGCAGTCAGTATGTGAGTTGCAGTAGCTCTCTTTCTCTGTTACTGGATCTGCTAAACATTTCCATTTCCTGACCTGTCCTTCCTGGGAGGGGGCAAGTACCTCTGTTTGCTGATGAGATGAAGAGTTTGAGAAAGGCTGTGAATGGAGGAGAACAGATGGTCCTGGAAACTTTTCTGTGCATGGCAACTGAATGGCTTTTTCACAGGAAGAGCAAGTAGTCTGAAGCCATTTAACTTTACACTTAACTGTATTCTTAATATCATCCTACAGAAGAGGTGCAGAACTAGGATAATGGTGAGAAAAACCAGACTATGTGAAAGGACTTAGTAAAAGCTAATTTTGCTAAGGGATGAAGAGAGTAAAGAGAAAGGCTGATAATCTGCTACAAAGTATATCTGCAGAGTGTAAGGACTTCATGTATAAAATTTGATTGATGGACAAAGGGAACTTTGGAAAGGACTAGAGAAGAGTCCATAGAAAGGGAAAAACTGAAATACTGGAATAGACAGGAGAACTTCAGAGAATACACAAAATGCAAAAGATCTCCTGAGATATCTGGGAAAAAAAAAACGCTGACAATAATAAGTGTGAGAATTCATGGGAACTGAGCAGGGTAAGAAATGGCTGTTAGCAGAGAATGAGGGATCTGGCTTTAGAAAAAGCTGGACTGAGAGTATGAAGAATTTGGGAAAGAAAGCAGAAAAGCCATTGGATGAAGCACTCCCTAGAAAATAGGAAATGAAGAAGATAAGCAAGACAACAATCTGAGACAGAGAACCTGGTTAAGCTTTCTGTTCTTATCAGAACAGTTTTGGGAAGAAAGCACTAAAATGGAAGAATTTGGAAAAAAATGTGAAAGAGACACCACACTGAAGAAATCATCAGAGCGGAAGACAGTGTAAAGCAGAACTTTTTTAGATGAGTTTAGACAATACGTAAAGAGAGCTGTGATTAAATAGAACAAAGATTACAAATGTATAGGATCTGTGAGGGAAATCATTAGGACATGGAAAAATGAATGTGGAATTTATACAGGAAAAGAAAAAAAATAACGTCGGCAAACAAATACACAATAGGTAAGGGGATGGGGAAGAAAAGAATCAGTGGAAAAAAAAAGGAAAAGTAAGAGCAGCAGTAAATGTCATTGTTCTAAGTGCTTAGTAAGAGGTCTGTTAACAAACAGTATATAAAAGTAAACATTATCTTTGTATGGTACCTTTTTGTGTGGGATGAGGGGATCTTGGGAAACCGGATTGGGAGCTAGGCATAGGCATCTAGTGAACCTACAATATGTATGGAGAAGAGGATAATCTGCTTTATTATAAATTTAAACAAAAGCAAGAAAGAAAACATTTAAAACTAGTGTCTAAACCAGTTCGTAATAACTTAGTATCTGCATCTGTTAAAATATCTACGTATATTTGAGACTCACATTTGAGTTATTTATTATGATTACTTCTCAGTATTTCATGGATAGTCCAGCAAGATGTTGGCTATCCAATATTTAAAAAATAAATCAAAACAAAACAAAACCTAGAAAAAAACTATAATATCTGTTATTGGTTCTTTCCACAGACTCATTTTCAAGCTCCTTTTTCTGAATATCTTTCCCATTTACAAGGCTTTATATGAACTAAAAGTGAATTTGAACACATTGAAAGGTGCTACAGGAGGAAAAATAGAACATACCCCATTTATTGATAAATGCAATTACCTTTTACACTTAAATTAGTCCTACTCCTTGCAAACAAAAGTGACCATTACAATATTAACATTAAACATAGATCCAAAATCAAGAAGAATCCTTTTATTTACAATAAAGAGTAGATAAAATCTTTGTTTTAAAATACTGTCGTCTTTGCCTAGTACTTTCTTAAATGCTGAAATTATACTTGATATTTCAATTATTTTACATCCCCACAGAACACTGCAGCTATATTTTCTTGCTTAGTTATAGAATTGCATAGCATGCTTAATACAATAAATTTAAAAAAATGTACTATGATTATGTATAAAGCTGTTGTTACCCCAGATATGCTTTGATACAGGAAGATATAAACACAGATATTTTAGAGGAATATGAAAGGCATAAATACTTCCCTAGTAAGCATATTTTTCCAGAACCTGAAAGCATGAATGAAATATTACATTCTTTATTAGAGAATATACTACATATTCTATAGAATAATTCTTCTCTTGCACATACAGAAGTACAGTAAATATCATTATTATGTAAAATGTACAGAAGTAACTGAAATTTTCAAAAATTGGAAGGACATACTCGTTGTTATCCCTGTGAGAGTTAAAAAAAATTTCACCCACTGGAAGAAAGATTTTGTACAGTTTTGCATCTAAATTCTCCAAAGAGTCCACCTGTAGTGAGCATGCTTTTTCCTGGTGCTGAATGAAGTTCCTTCACTGAAACTATCCTTGTTTCTGCAAACTATTGTTCTGCTGAATATTGAAATAACAACAGAGAAATTGCTTTCCTTTTCTCTCAATTCTTGTCTTGTGCTGATACTAAGGAAGAGCTTGATGGGGAGGCAGTAGAAACTGAGAATAAATTCTGAAAGACTTGTACCAAACAGAAAAGGCTGTTAACAGGGAATGTTAATAGAGTGCAGACTCTAAAAACCATTGGACAAAGGAGGAAGGCAACTAAAAGGGTCACATACAGGAGAAAGATTTTGCAGTAGAAGAAATAATTAGGGTGGCATGAAACTTAGGTCAGAAGAGAACAATGGAAGAATGGGTTCCTAGGGAATGGAAAATTAGTGGAGGGGGGAGAAGAAGTGTTGAGACAGGACAGTGAGAACAGCCACTGACAAAAGCTGAAATTAGAATAAGAAAGAAACAAGGTGGAACTGGGACATGGATGTAAAGGAGTAACAAGGACACATGCTACAGGGCACACAGAGAAAAGGGAAAGGGAATCCTCTTTCCTGTAGTGGAACTGAATACAAAGAGTCCTAACACTTAGCATTACTCATCTGTTAGTAACTATTTCAGAAACTCACTCCACAAAAAAATTGATCCACAAAGACAATAAACTTCCGCACTTACAAACTGTGTTGTAAATCTACATGTTACACAATTCCCAGTGGTAGACCTAGATGTTCCAAAATCTGATATGATGATTAAACTGAATATATTGGGGGGGGGGGGGGGAATAAAAAATAATAATAATAAAAAACAACACCAAAAAAACCCCCAACATTATTTAAAGTCTATGTTAAGATGGAATAGCAGAGACAGGAAATGTCAAAACTAAGGTTGCCTTTGCAATATGATCCAATACCATGACCATCATGGTTTAGACTTTAAAAAAAACAACCATCAGTGTTATTTTGTGAGGTTTATTATTTTTTTCCTGATAACATCTTGGACAGATGAGTCAAGGAGAAGTCATTATTATTGCGAATGTTGTCTCTAAGACCTTGGTTTTATTTGTTGCGGACATGTAAATGTACAAAATGAGGATAAGCAGAAAAACATAAATGCTGTTCCTATGTAGCCTGGGATAAATCCTTTAGAATACACACTTCCAAAATACTTTGTAATTATGTGTTCTCATCTTCTGAATATCTCAGCTCATAAAGGAAACTGGATTTAATGGGAAAAGTGATTTGAACACGGTGAACACATAAAACAATCTGTCACCTCAGCCTTCCTGTGACTCTGATTCCCAGGTATAAAATGGGAATACTGCAAACTTTGCTTCCTTGCAGGAATGGTCAGAAGATAAATAAATTAGTGTTGGCAAGGAACTCAGTTACTTCAGTGTAATAGAATAGCCTCCAAAGAAATTTCTCCAAAGAAATTTCTCCAAAGAAAAGTTTGTCTGTGCACCAAAGAAAATAACAAATGTATGGTTTATAGCAAATGAGCATGTTGATTGGATTCTTACTAGAATGACGTATCAAATGGTTCTTTGAGTTAGGCACAGTCTGTGCGAGGAGAAACAGGATTCTCAAACAATGTCACAATCTGTACCTACTTCCCAGTAGGTACAACATTCAAACTGGCATATTTCAACTTCTGAGCTACTATCTTTGTAGGCAGAACATGCAATTTAAATCTAAATGTTTTTGTTTGTCCCACAGAAGAACTTATTGCCTCTTTTTATTTTTTGCATATGCTTATTACCTTCAAAGACTGACATCTTTTTCTGTTGTTATGGTCTCCTTGTGGCACACTAGTAACAGCTCTTCAGGAGTCAGTAAAAGTGATTAAATAACATACAGATTATGTCAAATGATACTGTTCAGATGATTGACTTCAAAATGCAAAGTAAAGGCAATTGAGTGTGATTACTGGTGCTAACCATTTTAGGCTTCCCTTTGTAAAAAAGCATGTTCATTTACAACTGAAAACAAATGCTGTTTCTGCTGTTTAGTATTCATGTAGGTAGAATTAGATTGTTGACTAGAGAGGATATTATAACACAAATGCTATCTTAAAAATTTGTTACTAATATCTTGGTGCTTGCAGTATATATACATTCAGATTCACAGGGAAAGTAATAAGGCTCTCTTTAGTATTTCATGTACAAATTTACTCAGCAGATTTGCTTTATTAAACTGTAAATAGTGGGATGTGGTAAATGAAAAATCCAGGAAGTGAATAAACAGTTTATTCACCATTAATGCTTACTGAAACACACCTTTCATTAACTGCCACTGAATATTAGCTATGAAATTCTCATCTTGCCTTGAATGTTACCCATTAGCTATTTGTACAGTTGAAAGGCTAACATGGTTTTAAATCAGCCTTTAAAATAGTTATCCTAAATGTAACTATATATATTCACAAAAACTGCATTTAGCATGTTTGAGATTCAAGCCTATACTGCTTCAAATTCTTCTTCTTTAATTGTACAAGATAAACAGAAATGACCTATTAATTTAAAGAAAATCTACCACCACCGAATGTATGCTCTCCTATAAACAAGCAAGATGAACTTGACCTTGTTTGAACTTGTTTTGATGTGGCCCAGATGGTAAGCTACATGCTTGAATAGCAGTCTAAAGCTGAGGAAAAACTCATATACCAAGATCTAGATTTATAGCCTTTTGCAAATTCTTACCTTGTATTGTCCTTTCAGCATCTGTTCTGCCCCCACTGCGGTCAGCTTCTATCTCTGGGGTCAGAGAGTCTAGAAGCATAGAAAGGTAAGACTGACACATATTTCATTTGATTCTTATAGCCCTTTTTACAACCTGTTACTCTAAAGCTGAATTACAATACAATCAACCTTTGTCAGCTTTTTTTTTTAACGTTGAACAATGACTAGAGGCCAGGACAATTTTTTGTTAGACGAGTGAGATTAATGAGCAATAGATTTTTCAAGCATAAAGGTAGGAAGAAAAAGAAGAAGGAAAAAAAATGACTTCTCAAGCTAATAATATAAAATAGTCCCAGTTGGGATATTCTCTCCAGTAAATTTATTTGCACATGCTATATAAAGTAACAAAAGAAAAAAGAGAGGGACATCACTTGAACAAAGGAGAGAGATTTTCCTTTTTTTCCCCCCATGTTATAAATTTCATACTAACAAGATTCTTTAGACACTTAAATTGAAAATTAATGACACAGAAGGAAAAGCTCGCTTCTTACCATTTAGGACCCTGAGACTATCTGTTGAAGCTGCTTGTTTCAGTGTCTGTTCTGCTTGCTCCCGTCGTTTAGTCTCAAATTCAAGTGCTTCCTGCAATTTCCTCTTTGCCTTCTTTTCCTTCTTTAACCTTTTCTGAATTATTGCTAGAAGGAAGAAAATCAGTATACTCAAATTCAGATCTGGAACTTGGCCACACAATTACGTATTAAGAGTTCCAAGAAAGAATACAACTGTAACAGTTCATATAAATTGTGTAATTACACACTATCTATTTAAACTACCTGAAATTTGCTGGATTTACAAATAGATATGTAAAGAGCTACTGCTCTATACCATGCTGTATCTTTTAATAAACAGATGAGGATTTGTGAAAATGTAAGATGGAAAATCTTGGAACTCAATCCAAACCCTTTATATTAGAAACAACTGGACAGTGCCAGATCCCCAAGCCAACTAATTAGTACTTTGCTTTCTCAAATGCAAGGGAAAATATTAGGAAAGTAACAAAAATTCAGTGCAGAAAACCTTACTTAATAAATGTTCTCCCTGCTTCTTGTTCACATTCTATAAAGAAAATGGTTGCAGGAACAGGATATAAATGATTCATGCAAGATAGGTTTTAAAGAAAATCCATCATGATTTTCTTTTTTATGTTACCGGACGGTTGCTTCCCAATTACAACTAAAATAAAACTTCTATGTTCCCTGACTGAAGGAACATATCACAGATTATGTCCTCAGTGGAACAGAGTAATGTGAACTTTTTTTTTCTTTTTTCCTACTCCATGAAAGTGGAAGTGATCCTCTAAAGAAATCATACAAAGTTGTAGAGCACATCCTTATTTACCCAACCAAACTCCAACTCTTTTTTCATTCAGGGTTTTCATAGACATGCATGTAAGATCTTTCTGGTTAATCCTTTCCTAGAGAATCTGTCATTTTTACACTAACTATAGAAGTACCATTACCAAAACCAGATACTAGGTGATACTAGGCTTGATTATTACTTCTCCAAAGTAACCATTTGTATCTGGTTTAGGAAGAAATGCTGGAGAGGTTAAAAATACATGTCCACCAGCTCACACTCCCCATTTTCAATAGTCACAGCTGCAACTTTCACAGAATACAAATCATGAAATTTTTAAAGGGATCCATCATGATTATTTCTATTTAATGTATATGCTAAGAGAAAGCGCTTTTTGAGTAGTCTTAGATTTTTTTTCTGTGTTGCCATACAGAACTGTTTAGACACAAAATGTATATTAGCACAAACCCTGTAGAGAGAACAGCTACATCATTAACGTGTAAGATTTTGGAATTCTGACCCTTCCTCATTTTGTACAGTAAAACTACTTTTCAGGCATATTGTCTTATTCTATGAAAAAACAGCTAGTATCTATACAAAGGCTAAACTAAATACATTTTGAATCATTGCACCATTTTAATGTTTTCATTATAAGTACTTTGAAAGCAATCTCAATAAATGAGAAGGAAACATATGTTGCTTTCTGAATTAAAATGTCATCATGGCTGACACATTGTAGATGTGACTACAGCAGTCAGAGCCAGAATTAGCAAGCCCTTACTGTGTAGCTGCTCACAGAACAGAGATTATCCTACTTTCACTGGTTGATGAGACACATCCTACAGCCTTAGGAACCACTAATTGGGATATTTACAAAGAAGGAAGGAAACAATACACTAAATAAGCAGACTGTAGAACATACACTAGCAGCGGAAAGATGTTTGACTTGTGTTAACATGACTAGCAAGGTAGACACTGATACTGGTTGCCTAATGCTGAAGATTCCATTTACCTAATAGGCTTTGACCTGTGTATGACAGTGTGCATATATTTCTGTGCTGCAGCTTTTTAAGGGTATTTCAGTCTTTTTTTTTTTTTTTTATAGAATGTTTCTCAGTAGGGATGTGGTACACTTCTCCCATCTCGCTCATGCCTCTATTAAGATGTGAGATTTCCTTTCAGACATGACATTTGCCATTGGAAAACTGATGTCAACTAAAACTAATGTAAGGCAAAGCCTCCTATGTATTTTTCCATCTTTAATTGAAGAACAAATTCTCAAAATAATTACAACGTCTTATTTTTTCTCTCCTACTTGGCTTTCTTCATCGTAAGGAATAATATGTTATTTTTATTTTATTTTGTACAGAAGCATCCACTAGTGGAGAAAGCCATCCTCATTACATTTACTTTACTGCATTACACTATTAAGTGCTCAGATCCATTCCTCTTTGATTTGACTCTTTTACCAGTGCAGTATCGTCATACAAAGATATAAAAGAAGCAGATAATGCATAGTGCAGAAAATAACGCTGTCAATTATTTCACTATCCTAAGCAAAGTAAAGGACTATCACATGCTCTTTCTTGAAATGCATATTGCCTAATTTTACTCGTTGAAAGTATATGTGTCTAGTCCAGCTTAGTCAGTGATATTACTTTCAGTGCTAACAGGAAGAGAAAGAGGTATTCATAGTGTAATTGACCTCACCAACTTGTCTCAGGATGTAGGAATTGCTTTATTGAAAGGAATGGAATTTATGTTGCATAAGCATAACATATATGTTGCAAGCATAATATATTATGCTTGAACAACGTGCTTAATTTCTACACGGCAAAACTCAAAGTCAGATGAGTCCCCACCTATACCTTTTCTGTTGTGCGTATTACTGCCTAACTCTGAAAAAGGGATGCATGATTGAAGGATTATGAGACAGAGCTAGACGAGGATGAGAAGAAATGAACCATTTTAGAAAACTTCCTAAAAAGTGTAACTATTCCAATTGTACTGAGCAAAATAGGTCATTTGTGGACAAAGTTATAATTCACTACACAGTTTTGATAATTGTTTTTCTTGTAAGTTTAAAAAGGAAAATTAACAATGTCCTGCCTTTTAAAGGGTCAAGGCATGAAATAGGATTACACTGCTTACTTACAGGTAGAATGTTAGTCAAAGGAATAATGATACTGGTTGTAAATCCAAGAGTTCTTGGGGTTCCTTTTTTAGATGATTTACAGAAAGCTAAGCTGGACAAGAAAAGTATTATAACTTTAGCCCTGCAAAAATACTTATCTGCCATGCCTGCCATTTGTGTTAAGCAGCAAGTTAAACCCATAGGTTGTCTGGACGTTGCAATGTAATTAGACACTTTTAAAGAACAAGACACGTATATAGTGAAAAGGAGAGCTATAAGGCAAGATGCAAACATGTATAGCATGCAAATAGTTAACAGTGAACTGCCCTAACTTCACCATCAATGTTTTAGAATGGTGTCCTATATCTTAATTTTATATAAATAAATAAATATATATATATGTATATATATACACACATTAAATCATTAAGAAATTTATATGCTTTACACTGGGATCTTTCTCAAGGAGAACCTTAGCTGCTCCTTCTATAAACATGTTTGACCTACTGCATTATACAATGCTTACATATTACTATTAACTTCATATTTTATTACATACAGATTGCCTAAATATGCAGTATATGACTCTTACCACATAAGAACAGAGATGAATTCATAACACCTCAAAGAGACTAAAATTTGATAAAGTTGTGTTTGCTTTAAGTAGCAATCCTTTTTCATAATGGTCGCAACCTGCCGAAGTCCATAACTGCACCTTCTGTGTTTACATTTGCACTGTGTATTACTGATATGTTGTAATAAGTCATATTCAAGACAAACACAGAAAAAAAAAGGAAGGTGTCTGTACTAAATTTCATGCAGATCCTATGCAAAATTATGATCAGGTAGACTGCGAAACTTCCTGTATTGCAGTCAGCTTGTACATAACATAAATACTGGAGAAAGGTTTTGATGAAACACAAATGCTTGAAAAAAAATTAGGTTTATTAAGGAAAAAAAACTACAAGATATTTATGTTTGCTTTATTAAGATACCTCTATTTTTCTGCTCCACAGCCAACTGTTTCTCAAGTGTTTCCCTCAGCTCTCGTTCCCTGAAGAGCTCCATCTTCAGCTCTGTCTTTTCCAGTTGGACTTGTTTCTCTTGAGCTCTGGCATTGTCTATAGCAACCTTTAGTAGACCCTGTTAGAAAACAAAACAAACAAAAAAAAGCAATGTTTGAGGAATATTACAACAGATGACATAATAAATAATTTCTATTATTTATCTCTGATTAGTCTCATGAGATTTTACAAATGAAATAATCTTTTTACTGGTTCGAAGTTTCCTGGTTATCAAGAGCAAAATCTAACTCTTTTGTTAGACTCTAAATCTAAGAGTCAAGTTTTCACAGAAGATGCAAGCTGATCTTCAAATACGTGTAAAACTAATATGAAAAAGTTATAGGGATAGGTTTATTCTTCATGGAAGATAAAAGATAACAAGCCTATACAAGCCACTTGCCAGTTAAAACAAAAAGAGCTGTCCTACTGACAGCGAATTGTCAGTCTCATTATTTATCAACTGAAGAATGGCAAATTTAGTCTCCAGTACAATTCCTTATTGTTGTTCATTATTACTACATTCCATATTGTTTCTGAGGAAGATTAAGTTGTTGAGATGTTAAGCAGAGGACACTCACAAAGCAGAAAGATCTTTCTGCCTTAAAAAGTACGTTACTGATTTTGTGCAAGTTATCTCACAACAGACGGCAAAACACAACGATCTCTTAATTTCTTGAGTTAGTATGTTGGAAAAAAAATCTACATTTTTGTGGTTATTGCATCAGGAAATAATAACTTGTTTTCTTTTTTTTCTTGAGAATTTTAATCTACAGTTCCTCCTTTTTGCAAGGAAACAGACAGATCTTGGCATATCTAATAGCTAGATAATTAGGACACTGATATAAACTACAAAAAGAGGAGGGGAAATAGGGTTGAAAGAAAGAAAGATAGAAAGAGAAAATAACTCCATATTCCAGAATTCTGGCCATCAGGGTCTTGGCTCTACACTTTTATCTCTTCCACTTGAAGCTATCATAATATAGCAGATAATTAAGCATAGCTAGGCATATATGAACCTGCATGGATATGAACCTAACTCTTCCATATCCTAGACAGGTCTCCTGACAACCACAGATCCATAGATAGAACCATAGATTATTATTTTGACCCAAGAGGGATGTGCTGATATGAAGCAAAACAATGCCAACAAGACAGACTGAAGAAGTTGCTGGTAGTTATTTTAGGAAAGTTAAAAGATCAAAAGTTCAGAATCAAGACCCAGTTTCAGAGCTGCATACTACAGACACAAAATTATGTTCGCCAACTCACCATTTAAGCACATTTCCTTAATTAAATTCTGAGTTTCAAGTTTTTTTTCACGATTTTTTTAAAAATATCTCCCAAAAGAACAGGCCAGCACTACGATACTTGAAAATGGAAAAAAGCACTTTCTTGAGTGTTAGTATGTACCTTTCTCTTGCTGGCCTTCCTAATGTCAGTGCCTACCATTGAAATTTGTGTCCTTCCACTTCTTCTTTTAAATCTGTTCTTCAGAGTTCATTATTTTCATTATTCCTCATCCTCACTCTTAACTAAATTGTTGCCACAAGTGTTGTTACACTAAGAATTTAATTCTTGCAGTTTTATTATATTTCAATGTATTAAAGTCCACAGCAACTGAAATAAATCAAACTTTCCAACATCAAGGAACACATGGTCACTTTAATGATGCACACTACAGAAGAATAAGATCACATTTGAAAATATCAAACAACAGTAACTCAAAAAAATGTGCTTATAAATATGATTACTGTTTTAGCAGTTTTCTTTAAAAGAAAAAAACAACTAAAACACAAAGATATTTTGTGTTGACCGTTAAACTTAGATGACTTCTAAAGAAAATCATGTAAAGCTAAATACAAAGCTCCAAAGACAAATGCAAAGTAAAATAGATTTTTTTAATATTATCATTCACTTGAAATCCCCCTTTATGAATCATAGAATCCTTAGAGTTGGAAGAGACCTCTAAAGGCCATCTATTCCAATTCCCCTGCAATGAACAGGGACATCACAGCTAGATCAGCTTGCCCAGGGCATTATCCAGTCTTGCCTTGAATGTCTCCAGGGATGGGGCATCAATCACATATCTGGGCAACACATTCCAGTGCCTCATCATCCTCACTGTAAAAGACTTCTTCCTTATATCCAACTTAAATCTACTCTCTTTAAACTTGAAATCATTGCTACTTGTTCTATTACCACAGACCCTGCTAAAAAGTCTGTCCCCTTCTTTTCTGTTGCTCCCCTTTAGAGACTGACAAGCTGCTATTATGTCACCTTGGAGCCTTCTCCAGGCTGAACAGCCCCAGCTCTCTTAGCCTATCCTCATAGGAGAGGCGTTCCGTTCCTTGGTTCATTTCTGTGGCCCTTCCCTGGACACAATCCAACAAGTCTATCATCATAGAATCATTATAGAACGGCCTGGGATGAAAAGGACCACAATGACCACCCAGTTTCAACCCCTCTGCTGCGTTTAGGGTTGCCAACCACTAGACCAGGCTGCCCAGAGCCACATCCAGCCTGGCCTGGAATGCCTCCAGGGATGGGGCATCCACAACCTCCTTGGGCAACCTGTTCCAGTGCGTCACCACCCTCTGTGTGAATAACTTCCTCCTAATATTTAACCTAAATCTCTCCTGACTCAGTTTAAGACCATTCCCCCATGTCCTATCACTGTCGACTCTTGTAAACAGCCATTCCCCTTCTTAAGCTCCCCTTCTTATAAGCTCCCTTCAAGTATTGGATGGCTACAGTGAGGTCTCCCTGGAGCTTCTCTTCTCCAAGCTGAACAAGCCCAGTTCACTCAACCTTTCCTCATAGGAGAGATGCTCCAGCCCTTTGATCGTTTTAGTGGCCCTCCTCTGGACCCGCTCCATGAGCTCTACGTCCTTCTTGTGCTGGGGGCCCCAGGCCTGGACGCAGTACTCCAGATGGGGCCTCATAAGAGCTGAGTAGAGGGGGACAATCACCTCCCTTTCCCTGCTGGCCACCCCTTTTTTAATGCAGCCCAGAACACAGTTGGCCTTCTGGGCTGCAGGTGCACACTGCAATGTCTATGTCTCTCCTGTACTGAGAACTCCACATCTCGATGCAGTACTCCAGGTGAGGCCTCACCAGAACAGAGGGGCAGGATAACGCCCCTCAATCTGCTGGCCATACTTCTTCGGATGAAGCCCAGGATATGGTTGGTGTTCCAGGCTGTGAGGGCACATTGCAGGCTCATGTCCAGGTTCCCATTTACCAGTACATCCATTTTTTTTTTCAGCTGGGCTGCAATCAATCCTTTCATCCCCAGCTTGTATCGGTAATGGGGCTTGCCTCAACACAGGGGCAGGACCTCGTGTCTGGATTTGTTGAACCCCATGAGGTTCACCTGGGCCCACTGCTCAAGTCTGTCTAGGTCCCTCTGGATGGCATCCCATCCCTCTGGTGCACTGACCCCAACCCACAGCTTGATGTCATCAGCAAAACTGCTGAGGGAGATTCATATAGGAATTATTGTCTCAATACCTGCCTCTAGTTTATGTTGGAAGTCTAGAGTATTTTAATCTCCTCCAATTCATCTTACTAGGACACATGATACATCCAAATCATGAATAAAAAAAAAGCGGATAAAGAGAAATTATGCAAAGAATACTTGTAGATTATAAGCATATTGTCAAATAATTTCAAAGATTCAAATACCTTTCCCAAATTCTTGCCATCCATCTTATTTAACCATAAAGGCAAGCTTCTAAAACAACTGCCATCTTTACTCAGTTCAACTATATTCATGTACATGTTTCTTCTTCATCAGGAATAAACAATTAGTAACAAATGAAAGAGATCTTTACGTCAAGTGCCCTTTTAGATCACCCCAATTAAAACTTTAGTTTAGCTGTATTTTAATGCTAAGATACCAAATTCTAATTTTCTGCTCTGATTGCTCGTTGACTTATCTTTGAAAGATGCACTCTTAGTGCAAAGTCTAGAGATCATTTAGCAAGATGCCAATGTTGGCACCACTTAATGTGTTGATTGGTTGTATTATCAGTAGCAGTTTAAAATAAATTACTGTTAAACTATTATTGTCCTTGGCTAACAAATATTTTTGTGTTTTTAAATATCCATGAATGAACATGGAGAATAATTCTAGTGTAACACAGAAGTGTAATTTTATATTAAAATCGCTGCATAGTATGAAGCTGCTAAAAGCATATTACATTTTCTATTGAATTTCTGCACCACACTTCCTCCTTCAACCTCTCATTTTTTTAAACCCTCTGCTAACGTAGCTAATGGTAATACATTACCTATTGCTGCTGATTATGTCTGAAAAATATTAGCTTTTTGGAGCCAAGACACACTAGGGACTACTTATAAGCTACACAAAATTAAGTTTCATTTTTAGAAGTTAAATCAGTGCACATCAGTAGGCGTCCAATGTAGAAAAAAATCTTCACTAGAGCCAAACTGATGCATATGCAAAAGTACTGTTGCTGCCAATGACATCTCTAATGCAAAAATACTGGAAACATTCAGTATCTCTTCAGTATTCGATGAAGAAGGGCTGAGAAAATCAACTAAAAAGTACAGCAACTCAAAATTATCAGTGCCCTCTGGAACAGGAATAGCAATTTCAGAGTTGCACAAAATTCTATTAATTCTCCCAGTGGATCATCTGTAAAAGATTATACAAAATACAGTATGTCCAACTTGTATTTGCTATGGCTAATCCTCTAACCTGATATTAAATCAATATGCTGCCAATGACAATGGGAAATGCAGTGCAACACAGGACATTAACAAAAGAAAAATATTTCCCTTTAGGGAAGGTCAGATGTTATGGAGGCTGGATAATGATAATTGTAGTGAACATCCTCAGGTTCCAGATTTGTTTTTAATACAGTATGGCTCTATCAGGAGCAGGGCTTTTAACATGGCATGCCAATCCTCCTGTATGTGTCACTGTTTATATTTTATATATATAACATATTATATATATATAATATAATTTCAGTGTAACATTGACATTTTCCCCAGGAAACTTAAGAGATCATTCTGATATACATACATATATATATATATATATGTATTATT